GTGGGGGAGGAAAGAGGATGATTCTTTGGTTCTTTAGTGTTGTTATTGTGGCATTCAACTGATTAATGCTATTTTTATGACTGATACCATCTGTGTTGCTGATGCGCAATCAATAAATAAAAATCATGCTAATATTGAGTGAGTTTAGCAGGGAAGAGCTGAGTACATGCTGTTTACTACAGTGAAAGAGCTTAATTTTAATGCTTTGGAGAAGATATAGCATGAGAAATGTTAATATTACTTTAGCATTCTATAGTGTTGTTATTTTATGATAAAGTGTGAAATGTTTATTGTTATGCTGTAGCAATATTAAGATATAGTTTTGTATGGTAGTTGCTTGTCAAACTTTTTTTAAAATACCAAAGGGGTTCTGCTCAGGGGTAGATGGAAAACTTCAAACTTTCCATCTTTTTATCCATATATTCTGAAATATATGGCTACATTTCCTTAATAATCATTGTCTACTTTTTAACAGATGAGTATTGAAAACTTTTTTTTTTTCTCTCCTTCAGTGTACTGGCAATACCATTGTAACAGTGAAATCATTGAATGAAAAGAAAATGGGTAGTGGTAGCAATTTATAAAGGAGACGTTTGAGCCAAATCCTCAGGCAGATCTTAAGGTACAATTGATGAATAAAAGCACCCATAGACTGAACTGGTTCCATCTTTTTGTGGTGTGGATATAGCTGCAGTCAAGACAACCTGTATTTTTATAAATGGACTTTTTCAATGCTATCAAGCCTATTAGTGAAAGTGATAAATTATTAGAAATAGGAAATAGAAAAGCATCTATCACACTATTTTTTCATTTGATTTTTTCAATAGAATTTACTGTAAGGTTATAAAAGAGTACGTTGTTTTGATTATATACATATTTTTAAGTGTAATATTTTGAATGAGTGTATCCAGGCTTAGCTTTCACTTAAGCCTGGCTGTTGGCTAAGTTCTTTTGGCTGCTTCTGGTAATGATGTTGAAGGCCCAGAAAGTATTTCTGCTTTAAAAGAAAGATTTTTTTTTTTTTCCCCCCTCCCTTTCTTAAACCACTCCGCCTCATCTCTACAGCAAAACAATGATGTTTTGGAACATAGTCACAGATATACAGTTGTCCTCAGCTAGAATATTCTATGGGAACTTAATAAGCATGGGAAATATTACATATAGCTTATATTATATAGTTATATAGAAATATTGTATAGAAATATATAGTTTATATATACTTTAAATTTACTACACATGCAATTCAAATTTTTACATATGCTGATGCGCCTTTAAACACAGATGTGTGTGTATGCATAGCTTTTTAAAAGTTACTTGGCATGCTTACATTTTATAGACTTTAAGTAAACTTTCTACCTGTTAATGGTTGTAAGTGTACCCTGACTTTTAATAAATTTGTACATGATGAGTTTATGTAGCAAAATGAAAAACCAGGGCAAAATTTCTCTGCATAATACAAGTACTAAAGGACAGGGTGCAGAGAAGGCAAAATGATTACGGTGCTGCATTGAGCATAAACCAGGGCGGATTCTGTCCAGCATCTTTCAGGGTCCTTGAGCTGTGACTTCCAGAATTGTTGGTTTCATGGTATAGATGACATTGTAGGTGACTTGGTGTGAATATTTGAGGCTCTGGGGTTTATTAGTTGAGCCCTGTGCCATAGGATGATGCTTAACCTTCTGCTTGCAGGCAACATACTGCAAGTACAAACTCCCATACCTGTGTCAATTCTGCTGGACTCAAGATGGTCACAGAGTCCTCTCTGTTGTTTCCCTGTGTGAGAAGTTTTTTCTTAAATCGTGATATTGAATGAGCAGTCCAGAGATAGAGGAGTCAAGTACTTCTGAGAAACTAGCTGTCCCCATTGATGGCCCTTCACAGAATCTTATTCCATCCATCAAGTTTGCTATGTTTTTTTTTTTCTTTTTATATGTGGCTAGACAGATTTAGAGATCTCGCTTCAGTTAGTGTCTGAACTAGATTTCTCAATTTTGAAAGATTAAGATGTGCATTGTATGTTATTGCTTATTCACCAGCGTTACTTTTTAAAAAAAATCTAGCAAACTAATCTTCATTAAGATTATATTAGTGTGATGTGTACATGGTTATTTTATTAATGTGCTAATAATATAGTTCATATTACAGTAATGTATACATAATCAATGTTATATACTAATACCTTGCTGTATTAATATTATATATTATTAATAAATGTGTTTGCTCCTTGCCTGGTTTGTTTTTGGCAGTCTAAAATTTCTTTTTGGCTAAAATGTGTGACCAAGAAAAAAAATTAAAAAAAAATATAGAATCTAAGGGTCTGGCACATGCTTTCTCTCACTTATTCCTTATTTTTGAGTGGTAGAGATGAATGAAACATCTTCTGTTTCTTCTCATTGCTTTTAATTAAAGAGGGAAACTTGTTGAAAGGTTTGTTTATTTATTTATTTATTGAATTGCTCTATCTTTTGTTAGAACTGAATCTAAGGGTGAGGGTAATTGAGTTGAGTAGAAGCTCTTCTGACCACTGCTTTCGTGATATAAGAGGGCAGGTAGATGCCTGCTTGGTCTCCTGTGTTTTGGGGGAGGGTTGTGCAGAGCAATGCCAGAGAACAAGACTATTGATGCATGTTATCCTAAGCAGAAGTGACCTGTGTTCTCTGGTACTTAGAATGACAGAAATAAGTAGGCCAGTTGGCTGAGAGAAATAGTGAGAGAATGCAGGGATCTGCTGAAAAATATCCCAAGACTGTTGACTACAGTAAAATGAGAGCCAGCGTAATGCTTTTCCCTACCGTATACAACCTTGAAATTTACTTAAAGAAAGGTATTTTTTAGTTTGTGCAGATTTAAAAATCTTTAAAGCAGTAAACCTTTTTAAAGGCAAAATTGGGATTGGTATTATGCTATTTAAACTTTTTCAGTTTTAAAATACTTCTAAATTGCTTTCATTTCTTGTTTCATCCACATGCTTTTTCAAAGTATATATTAACTAAATGAGGAAGCATTAAATGATCAAGTATATACATACGTATATATATATTTTGTAGGTACTTTTAAGCTGACTTACATCAAGTACAAAGATTGATGAAATCATGGATCCGTATGCCAAGGCTCAAGGCAAGCGAGTGAAGCCAAGGATATCTGTGAGAAAGGTAATTATCTGTTCTAAGAAGCTATACTTTCAAGGTTTTATTTGATCCTAATGCTAACAGTCTAGTAATGAACCACATAGACTGGTAGGTTGGTTTGTTGTTTTATATGTTTTAACTTCGATAGGCTAAAGTTTCAAGGAGGCAAAAAACTGATGTTGCTTTATGCTTGGCCTATTTTAGCCAAGTGTAAACTGAAGAGACAGAATAATCAAAAGGAGTATAATGCATATGCATTTGCCTTTAGTCTGTGATTGTGAGGTGATTTGATGAAATTGTGATGTACTTAAATATCAAAATGTGCCTTGTTTACTGTAGTGTGAATATTTTGGGTGATACTCATTTTTCAAGTTTACGTGTAATTAAAAAAATGCACAGTGTCCCTGAAAACACTATTCTGTGAAATCTGTTAAGACCGTAGAATGCTTAACTTTAGATCTAGGTTACTTGCCTGGCTTGTCTTTAAGTTTACATTAATTTTGGGGGAGTTCTCTGATGGAAAAATAAGACCTATCCTATGGTATTACTTCTTTAACCAGTGTGGTGTATGCAGTGCTAAAGAGGAGAATCTGAGGAAGGAAATAGTGTTGCCTGAAAATTGCATTATGTTTCTAATAATGATAGTAACAGGGATTCCTGACTGATTTTAATAGTAGTCTAAAACATTTTCTCTGTGATTTGACATTATACCTTTTGGACCATTTAGTTCACAGAATCACAGAATGGTTGAGGTTGGAAGGGACCTCTAGAGATCATCTAGTCCAATCCCCCTGCTCCAGCAGGGACACCTAGAGCATGTGGCACAGGGTGGCATCCAGGTGGGTTTGGAAGATCTCCAGAGAAGGAGACTCCACAACCTCTCTGGGCAGCCTGTTCCAGGGCTCTGCCACCCTCACAGTAAGGAAGTTCTTCCTCATATGGAGATTAAACTTCCTGTGTTTCAGTTTGTTCTCATTACACCCTGTCCTGTTGCTGGCCACTGCCAAGAAGAGTTTGGCCCCATCCTCTTTACATCTTCACCTCATGTATTTGTACATATTGATCGGATCTCCTCTCAATCTTAGGCTAAAAAAACCCAGCTTGCTTAGTCTTTCCTCTTTCTTAGTTACAGGAACATAAACTTGACACATCTTAGGTGTACATTTTCAGGTAGCCAAACTCTGATTTTAGTCTGTATGTATCTGCCTCCTTTTAATTTTTCCCCAGGGACCGTCTTGAGACTACAGCATGGAACTCTGCCCATTTGCACAGAGCTAGACAGTACAGTAGTCAGAAGCACACTATACTACTTATGTTGATTCATAGCTTGTAGTGTGATTCATGTCGTCTTCATCATGGTTAAATGAATTGTTACAGTAGCTCTTGCAAGGCAGTCCATAGTTGTGGTCATTTGAAGCCCAAGGTTCCATTCTTACAAAATGATTTTTAAAAACATAGTTGGTTTAAATCTTATGACGTATGAAATCAGAAAGATTTTTTTTTTGTTTATTTACCTGACAGCAGAGTCAGTATGAAGATCTGCATCATTGGATCTGCATTCTCTACAGTTTGGGGGGGAAAAAAAATGGTTTTCACACAGTGTTAATGCTCCTTGGAATCTCCTCCTACAAGCTATATAAAGCACTATCCTCTTCCCCTCCCACCTCACCCCCTAATGTGACAGGCACAGGCCTAATGACACAGGCATCTTACAGGTTTGTGAGTTATTTGGAATGTTTGAAAACAGTTCTTTAAAATAAATCATGAAATCCATTAGTATATAATTCAGTGTATTGTCTAGGATCCGTAGATAAAGAATTCTGGATTTGCTGGCCGCAAAGACAGTGCAATTCTTTGTTTATTTGGGCTATGGGAGGTAGATCTATTTTCCATGTTCAGTTCTGTTCTGAGTGCATCTGAGAACATTGGTGTTTCCTCTGCTATGGATTAGTAAGCTCAAAATCTTTGTTCACAGCTGAAATAGGATTCCCTGCCCAATATCTGGCTTCAGGTTTTCTGTGTGGAAAGAGTAAAGAAACCTGGCAAGTAGAACTCTACAGAGATTTTTGGCTTTTACCCATAGGTAAATGTCTGTTGGAAGTAGTTGTGCTTTTTCTAAAAACAAATAGCATCCTGTTGTTGAGGATGACCTCCGGTTCTTACCTAACTGAGCTGGTCTTAGGGACGTGTCATTTTCCAGTTACTAATTTAGCTGAGTGTCCCTAGAACGGGTTGTGGGAGAGTTTGTTTGTGTTGTCTGATGGATATAATACAGGAAAAATTCCCTGGATGTGAGTCCAGACCTCTGTTGTTATGAGCATGAGTCCAGTAACCATATGAACTTATTAAACATAAATCTCATAGTTAAGTAGAGAGATTAAAAAAAAGCTTCTGTTTTTATGTCTTTTTGAATTTTTTTGTTGTAGTAAGCAGGAATCTTCTTACGCATGCCAGACTAAAACTATTCATGTCAAATTTTTACCCATTTGTTCATGGGTGGTGTTAGTCTTCAGCTTAATGGCTTTTTTTTTTTTTTTTTTTTTTTTTTCTGATGTTCACCCTCATGGTGTATTTACAGTCAGAGATCATATCTTCTCTGAGCCTGCATTTTGGAAGCTGTGCAAGCTAAGGTTTTAGTCTGCTTTTGTATAAAAGCCTCTGCATTTCAGCGATTATCCTTCATAGTCTTCCTTACTTTGCTTGTTGTGAATTAATCCCTCCCTTCAGTGCTGTATCGTATTGACTGCTCATTGCTATCCTATGGTCAAATAAGAGAATCTGGTCATTTTCCAGCTTGTAAATCCCCAGTTCTGTGTGCAAGCTTGTACTTTGTACTGCTACGTTTTAAGCTATTCTTGTTATGGCAACTGTCACGTTGAACAAGTTTTTCTTCTCTGATATATGCTGCTTTTCTTCTTAATTGATGATACTTCTTTGCCTTGAATTATCATTAGACTTCATTTTGGCTTCTATTATTTTTCAATATATTTATTAATAATGATGATAGTCAATTACAATTTCAAGTTTTGAGGAGTTGTTACTTGAATTTTCCCACTTGAATTTTCTTCATCACAACTATAGCAACTCCTAATATAATACTTCTGTTCCAATTTTCCCTGTTGTCTCTTCTTTCGGTGTATTAAACCAAGGAAATTTGATTATGAGTTATATGTAATAGTCTATAGCCTGAGAAAACTAACAGCTAGAGAAGCATAGTGAGCATTTTTCAAAGCGGATCAGTATTCGTCTGCAGAGAATTAGCAAGTCATGTTGTTTGGCTCTTCAAACTTTTTCTAAATTACTTCTTTGAGTGTTGTGTCCAATATTAAATTATTGTAGAAGCCGAAAGTGAGATAAACTTGTTTGTCTTCGCAAAAGACTCTCCCCTGCGTGGAGCAGTGCTCCTAGAGTTACTGGGGCTGAGTCTTTGAGCAGTGTTGGCATTGTAGCTTCTTGTAAACCTGGAAGATCCAGAGAATCGGGAGATTGCCCCCTTACTTAAGGGATTAGAAAGATAGTTAATTTACTCCAAATGACCCTGTGACATGCCACTACAGGGGTGTCTTGAATTATTTCGGGTCCTGGGATTAGTTGTACTGAACACAAGAGTCAAGTGTGAGAATTTTAGAGGTGAGAAGCTGTAACAAAGCTAACTGTTTAACCAAGCTGCAGATAGAACGGAGCCATAAATATATATATCAATATTAGGTTGCATATGGACAGGTGACCTGCTGAGCCCAAGGTGCTGCTCCATGGGTGACAACGTGGCCATTAGCAGGTTCTTTAGTGAGGAATAGCTCCACAGTGTGGAGAAGTCTGCTGTGCTGTGGGTCTGCAGTGTCACTTCTCCTTTGTCTGGACCTGTCAACCATGGGGTCATTAGAGGGTGTAGGCCCCAAGTTGGAGCAGCCCCAGCCTGGGTGGTGGTGACAGCCATCCTGCAAGAGTTTGTTAACTCCTGGGGAGTACCCCAGAGCAACCTCCTGTTCTGTGAGTGGCACCATCTGCTGTCCCACACTGGCTGTCAGATGCCAGCACTGCATAAATGCGATTTAAAATGCCTAAGATACCAGCTGTTGCTTTTCTATGTAAATGTCATTTGGCCTTTAGTGTAAGAGTAGTAGTCTGGGCCTTGTTTGTTAACCTTCTGAAATGTATTTTGGTAATTTCAAAGATCCTAAAACTTAATTTTCTAATTTTCTTTTGTATAGCCATTTTAGAAACATTTTCCTAACTCTGCACCACTTCTACTGTTTATTAAGAAGCTATGTAAAATTAAAATAATTTTTCATAATTTTGACAGCGATTTCATTTTTAACAGAGCAGAAGTAATAGGAATGATGATCTAGATTAACAGTAGTCAAATTACAGTCCTGTTTTTTATCTTACTAGTTAGAGAAGACGACAATTCAAGATAGAAAAAGGTTGATGATTTCCTAAAAAAGTGAAAGGAATGAAGATATGATCTCTCTCGCCCTCCTCCCCCATTCTCCTCACTGTTGCACTAACCCCTCTTACTCCTGACTAAATTGTCTTTCGGTCTTTGTAAGGAAAAGATGATTGAAAAGTTCCATACATAGGTTTTGATGCAAGAAGATGATAATGGCTTGGATTTCATCTTGGAATCATCTACTACTTTTTTTCCTACCAATTGTTCTAAGACTGCAAGCCTTAGTTCAACTACTTAATAAACAAGCATGCATTTTCTCTCTCTTTTATTTTTAATATGGAATGGCTAACTTCTTTTGGAATAAAAATATTGCTTAAAGAAAAACAATCTGTGTTAATTCCATGTCCTGAAGTAGACTCAAACCTGATGATTTAGAAAAAAAATAGTTTGACACAGTGCTTAAAGTAGGGAAATGGATTGGGGTCAGGGAACAGATGGACATACTTTGTATCTAAAACTGAAAATGTATTTTGTTTTCTTTATATTTTACTTTTTTTTAAAAAATTGTCTTTCAGACTTTTGGTGAAGGTGTACTGCACTCTATGAAGTCATTGTTACAGAGCAGAAAGGAATTATGCAGTGTATCAGCGGAAGAATGTTTAAATCATGAAGAACAAGCTCATTTTCTTGAGGTTTGGCATAGCCTAAAAATTCATTTTTCATAAGTATAATAAAGGATGGTTCCACTTTTACTGGAATAGGAAGTTGCAGGATAGTAAACGTGAACAGTATGGCAGCTTGCTGACTCCCCATAAACTCTGTCCTGTGTTGTTGTCCTTTAATGCTGTACCTGCAATCTTTAAAAGGATTGCAAAGTTTCAGGAAGATATTTCTCTGCTTTGAGAATCATGAAACTAAATATCATGTAACAATCTTATTACTGGCTGTACAGCATTTGATGAGCACTCCTGTTTAGATTGTATATACATGGTATCCTAACAAAGTAATAAAGAGCCCTTAGATTCGTGTCTGAACCTGCAAGCTGTAATGGTTGGTTGTTCAGACAGACTGTGCTCTATAATCTGCAATAAAACTTTTCAACTTTGCCCTTCCTCTCCTGCTTTTTACTTTTAACATATACCGGGCTGTGTGTTTTTCTTGCCTCTAGCAATGGTTGCTGCAGAGAAGGATACCTTACTACATTCAGTTACTTTATTAACACAAGCAGTTAAGATCACTCTGAATGAAACGTAAGATGGTCAATATCCCACTTAAATCCATCCATCCATCACAGAACTATTTTTTTCTTTTTCTTTTTTTTTTTTTTCTTTCAGTTTTTGGTCTTTCTGTAAAAATGTGGGGAAAGACACCTATGTAAGGAATAATGTTAACAGAACATTATTAGAACTGCAAAATAATTGCTCATACTGAGAAAAAGCAGAATTTAGGTTTCCTATGCAATTTTAATTCAGCACTCCGGCCCCTGTGGATTATGATAACCTTCAAATACAGTGCCACATACGCTATTTTTAGTTTAAGGAAAAGGTTGGTGTTACTGATTCAAGGCCCTTCTGTCCCCCTGCTTCACTCCCCAGTGACTTCTGAACTGGCATGCTAATTTCATCCAGGTTTGAGATCCTAAAGGTAATTTCTGTTCATGTGGTGACAGTTGAAGACAGGGTGCATAGAGAGAGAAAAGTTAATGTTGCCAATGAGGCAAAAATAGGTGGACTTTGCAATGATGTCATCTGGCCAACATCTGCAGCCAGTCAACATAAACACTGACAGCTTGGCCCTCCTCTGCGTGAAACTGCAACACCCAAATACTACCCTGTCTCCTACAGTAAAGTATTCTGGGGGAGAAAGGGCTCAGTTATTGCCTTGAAGAAGAGGAAAGGGCAGATGGAGGGAACAAAAGGGACATGCACCCACAAAAAACAACCACCAACCCTAAAGTCCCCCAGAATGATGATCAGAGAATTGGTTTTTCTCCAAATCCTTTAATTGTGTTGAAGAGCTGTGTTTTGCCTGGAGCTGTTTGGAACGCTCTTGCAAAGCTCTGTTTCAGCTACTGCTTCGTCATAACTGAAATATGCTTATTAAGATATGTGGATTTAAACAGGAAGATCTTCCTACCAGCACAAGATCCCGCAAAATACAAATTGCCAGAATTTTTAATATTTTTAGTATGATTACAGTTTACAAGTAATATTTCTGGTCTGGCACTGAAATAAAATAGGCAAAATTCAAATACTCAACACTACAATTGCCTTCAGCAATTTCTTTATCTAGCTCTGTTTCTTTCAGTTTCTATGTATTGCCCATCAATTTGTTGAACAAGTTAATCATAAGTGATTATGTGCATAGTAATGTTCATTCTTATTTACTTAGATAAGTTTCAGCTGGCCTACCTTGCAAAAGAGTGGCTAATTGTCACAAGGTTAGCATGACCTGTGATTTGAATATATAAAATTCAGTCTCCTGCATAGTGTTCTAAAATAATTGAATCCAGTGCATCAAAATTTAGCTCCAGTCATAAGTGAAAATGTTTGATCTTTGTGTCTTAATTCTCTATTTACATAATGGATTTTTTTTTTCCACAAACTTTTTTTTTTTAAAATGCCTTTTTTTTTTTTTTTAAGAATGCAGGTAGACTAATGATTTACCATAAGGGAAAACTAAATGAGAAGTGAGTAAATCTGGCATGTAAAGCAGGGTTGGAATAATGGACATGAAGCAGGTCATGAAGTGGCACTTCAGACTGAAAGTTTCTTCACTTTTCATGAAGAATGAAAATGAAACAAAATACTTATGTCTTGATTTGTTAGTACTGAAAGATACTACATGTCTATCGATAAAATAATAGGGGAATACGATAAAACATCACTGTTCACAAGCACAACAAGCTGAGGTGAAGCTGAAGAGACTGTTGCTTTCCAATCTCTTGAGCTTGACAAGACCTTTTATTAAGGTTGAGTATTACTTTATTTTAGGAATTTATCTGCTTGGATATTGCATGCAAACACATGTCTGATGTCCTCTGTTCTGTTTCGGCCTAAGGCTAAACAATTTACATGGTAAATTCACAGAATTTGCTGAAGTGTAGCTTAACGTATCATAGTTTATTAGCATAGACACAAATTTCAGAACTGACTGGAACTGACTTATACCCAGCCAGCTGGAAGAAAAGAGAGGAGCACTGAGAAAACACGTTTATATCAGCAGATGTACTGGAATTATATATGTTGCTTAAGATGCACCAGCCAATAAGCCATTAGAAGAAATTTTAGGTAGTGGACTATAAATGTGTTTGCTGTTCAGTCTGATCTCATCTTTTTGACAACTTAGGCCTACTATTCTCCATGCGATATGTATTATTCTTCAAGCAGTGCTATTCAAGGATATGTTTTTATGACAGAATAATAAAGCTTTACTGTAAAATTTAAAAATTAAATTTCTACAGAGATCTAGATATTTCTGTACTTCACATGTTCATGTATTTATTCTACAGATTACATTTATAGGCTTTGCTGAAGAGATCGGAACTGCTCCTTTGAAGGTATGGTATCCATCTTTGGAAACTGGCAGTTCAGCACTGCTAATCTCTTCTAAATAATATATACCTTTTTGATGGAGGACTTTTCTTCTTTGAGAAATTAAATTTGTTTACACTGAGTATTTAAAACCATTCATGACAGTTTTAAAAAAATACTGATTTTTTTTTTTTAATACAAGTACCAGTGCATTATGTATATTTAAAATATCGTGTCAGAATGGTTTGGAATAGCCTGCTGAGCGGTTTTTGTTTTCTTGGTTTTCTACTGTGTGTATCAGTATTGTGGCATGACTATTTTGTTTGTAGTTATTTCACTTTCTATTCAGAGTTTTGCTTAATAATAAGGTACCATTGTCATCTACAAAGCTACAGCATTCCTGGATTGACTGCCTGCTAGCTAACTAGAGATTACTGTAGAGTTCAGTGCTGCTTAGAAATAAAAATAGAAACTCTCAAATAATTTGTGCTCAAATTAATTAATTAATAAAAAATTAATAAAATAATAAAAAATTAAGAAAAAATAAGAAATTAATAAAATAATACTGCTAAACATTCTCCCAAGTATGGGAAAGATCTTTTTAATCATTTATTTAAGTGAAGTTTAGAGAGTACACCTGATGAAGTTCATGAAACCTTGTTTCGTGTAAGTCAGTAATGCTTATATTGTTGAAAGGCATTTTAAAATATTTTATTGTCTTTTCGAGGCCTTTTTCTTTTCTTTTTTTTTATTTCAGGCAAATCTAAAAGCTGTTCAAGATCATGTTTAAGCAAAGCCTGTGCCTGTGTTTATAATACTTGTCCAAAACACCATTCAAAAAGTGCACTAAGAGCACGTAGCTCTTAGCACTATTAGTTGAGTTTTGTATTCTCTGAGTAGCTGTGCACCTTGTAGGAGGCATAAATGCCTTTTGCTCCTTCTGTGATTCTCTCCTGTGTGGCCCTTAAAGCTTTTCTGTCACATGAGAACAGTCAACATTTTTTCCTTGAGTAGAAGTGTGAATTGGAGATGAGCGTGGACTAAAATATTAGTGAAAATAAGTTTTACACCAGAGTTTGAGATAATAACTGGATGATAAGATAAGAAGTAGGGAAGAAAGCAAAAGCTTTATCAAAATTAATGGATGTTTTCATATTCTCAGAGAATGCTTGAAGTTGGAAGGGACCTCTGGAGATAGCCATCTCCCTTCTCCTGCAGGGTTGCTGAGAGTAAGTGACCCAGAGCTGTGTCCAGACAGTTCATGAATGTCTGCAAGGATGGAACCTTCCCAGGCAGCCTCTTCCATTTGTTAATACATAGTTTTTGGATGTGAAATCAAAAACACTTCATGACCATTTACATGTTAGTTTTTCACTTTGTATTTCCAATATGTTCTTATATTTAAATTAGGAATTGACAGCTATTTCTGGAGAGCTTCCAGATGTCCTGAAATCACTCCAGTTGTGCAAACTAAAAGAAAATGAAGTTATATTTCTAAAAGATATAAAGAGAACTTTGGAAAAACCTTGTATCATGAAACATCAGGTAAGCATTCTGTGCCTTCTTACATGTTTTAGATGCAGATGTCTTCTAGGTGGCTTTATTCTTTCCTTTGAAATCAACTGCTTTATTAATAAAACAAAAGAACTAATATATATGTTTAATATATATGTAATTTCTACTACAGTGAGTCTCTGTAGGAGGAGGATACTTAAAAGGTGAAGCAGTATGTGGATAATCCTCAAATTAGTCAAGAATAAGTATCTTTTGGGACTCTCTTTTTGTGGAAGTTTTAGATTAGCTGATAAGTCTGGGGGTGTGTTTCGTTGTGAATGCACCTTATGATCAATATATTACCTAATCGAGCTAGAATGGAAGCCTTACCACATATTCACGTGGTACATGATATGCTCTGTCTGTACTTGCTTGCTGACTTGGTCCCATGCTTCTGGGTCACTGAAGTCCTTTTCATGGCCAACTTGGAAACAAAGCAAACTAATTAAGTTGCCTGTGACTGCTGTGCTCAGATACAGCTTCCATTTGTCCTTGAAACAGGTGCCAGGCAATTATGTCTTTGTTGAGTGTTCATGAAATTCAATGTTATTTTTCTCTTGATCAGTTATACATTCTGTTAAAGCAAACTTAAAAACATGTTGACTAATAAGCAACACAATCAATTTTGCTTTGTACATGATGCAAATATCTAAACCAAAATACTGTTCAGTGTGAACATAATTTTAAGTCCTTTCTTCCTTTACAGGTTTTTAACATCTACATTCTTAATAGGCTGGAGGATATATTAGCAGAGTTTTATTGTATAACTGTGTTTTTGTTTGTTTTTAATGCAGTGATTTATTTAGAAGGCAGGCGTTACTAAAATATTATTAAATATTACTGTACACAAGCTGTCCTATTTTCTTTACCTATAAAATATTGATTGTTCTTTGTGCATAAAAAATATTGAAGGAATGAAGGAATCCCCTGTTAACCCTGACAATTGACATTTCTCCAAGTTTGTTATATGTTTATTTTCTTGTCACTCTCTTTTTTTCAAGAATCAACTTCCTGAAGTGCTTTGTGTGATGAGGTTGTCCCCTTCATTCCCAAGGATCAAAGCTGATTATGTATTTACCTTACTGAGTAAATATACTACAGGTATAAGATATGCAGTGGAAATAAACTCATTGCAAAAACATCAAACAGAGACATCCCATGCAGAAGATGATGATACTAATCAGTCAGTTTCTTCAATTGAGGATGATTTCGTCACTGCTTTTGAACACTTAGATGAAGATGAGCCTTCAAAGATGCAAAGTTTTGGTAAGTGCTTGCATATTGTTGAGTTTTGTTGTAAAACCTGTTCTTTGAAATCTTGCCTGTTGAAGGACTTCATGAGATAATGTACGTGAAATGTTAGTAATTTTTTTACAGTAATTGTCTGTTTTCAAGGGGTAATCACATTTTTGCCTTTCTTTTTACAACAGTAGTTTGTCAAATAATAAAACAAAGATTCCAGTTGTGGTGTCAGATCCAGATAAAGTAGCACCTATGGTGTATGCTAAAAAGTAGATGATTTTGTTAATGATTTTGATTTGTCTAATGAATCACTACTACATTCTTTTCAAACCCTAATCATGAAAGAGCACGTAATGTGTTACATCAATTAAATGCTGAGTGATTGCTGTCAATCTGTCCTTGATCATGTGCGTTTGTGTAGAGATTTTTGGTTTTGAAGCTTTTTTTATTTTTTATCTTTTTAGGGGCATGCAGCTTTAGTTCCCGAAACCATCGAGATGTTGCTTCACAGACCATCCCCGCCCAATGTTTAGAGGCTGTAGACTCAAAAATCCTTGTGGGTTCTGTACATCGGAAGTCATCTGCTAAATCTTCTACTTTGGTTGATATTTTGGGACTTAAGGAACTGTCCTCGGTGAAAAATTCAGTTACAACATCAATTTCTGATCCTTGGATACAGCGGAGTTTCTATAAGCCATATAATCCTTCTGATCAAGGTGTTAATTTTTTACGTAAAACGTTATTTGCCTCCTCTCCTGCAGAATCCTCTGAGTCAGATTGCTCCAGCCCAAGCCCTGTTATCTTCTTAGATGAAGAAGGGTATCAGAAAAGTTTGAAGGCAAAACTTCAACTGCCAAAAATTCCAGTGGTGAAAGATGGCATAGAAGATTCAGACTCAGAAGTAAGTGAATTTTTTGATAGTTTTGATCAATTTGATGAACTTGAGCAAGCCCTGGAAAACACTTGTAAAGTTATTAGGAATCCAGTCCAAGGGAATCCTCCTGTGAAAAGAAGGACTGCTCATAAACATCTGTGTTCTGCAAACGCTACAATGAATCCTCAAAAATTCAAGTCTGATCGTCCCACCCTTCCAGCCAATGTAAGGAAGCCAACTCCTCGTAAACCAGAATCTCCCTACAGCAGCATCTTTGAGGTTCCAGATTCTCCTCGCCCGGTTAAAACATCAGGGGAAGAAAATGGGGGTTTGTTCAGCCCCATAAGATCCTCTGCTTTCAGTCCACTAGGGAGCTGTGGTTCTTCTGAATGTTTGTGTCGGATGAACCTTGGTGGAGATGGAACAGGGCAAAGCCACCATGATGCACTCTATAATACTTACTCAGAGTATGCTGATAGTTTTTCATTTGAAATACTAGGTTCCGTTTTTCATTCCGATTCTTCATCGGAACATGTATGCCTAGAAAATGAGTCCAAACATAGCAGAATTGCTTTAAAGGGAGAAAAAGGTCAAACTACAGAGCACAGAATGAAAAGTGGCAAGGGACCAAATAAGCAAGCTCAATCGAAAAACAAGTCACTAATGATCAAAGATAGCATTCAAAAATTTGCAACTGAATTGGTTGAAAAAAGTTTTGGCAATGCTTTCAAAGACTTGCAGAAAGGTGTTTCTTCTTGCACCAATGCGCTTTGTCATTTGGCTGCCAGGTTGACCTCTTCAGTCTTTCAAATGGCATTTTATGAGATCGGAAGGCGTAGAGCGATTTCCTTGAAGGAGCGTGCCATTAATGGGCTGGCAGGCTTTTTGGTGAGCGAAGCTATAACTGGTGCTTTGAAAGAACTGCGGCATGTAAAGAAACAAATATTTACCAACACAGTTGCACGGTTTGCCGCAGACCTCGCCGAAGAGCTTGTGTTTGAAGGAATCATGGAAGTGTGCCAGTTTTCATATCCATCAACACCTACAACTGCACAGACTTCATCATTTGATTTTGAAGATAAAGTGGTAAGATCTTATGCCAGAGACTTATCCGAGTCTGTCATTCAAGAGGCTTTTATTGAACTATCTCAGGTTGATGTGACCTTCACGACACAAGCGGCCATTAGTGTTTCCATGGACAACATTAAATATGTGAGTGCAGAAAGTATGTTACAGTCAACACAGACTTCCACAGCTTTTCCTAGCTCTAATGATAGAGCAGCACTAAATCCCACAGATTCCAGGAAAGAATATACAGTGCAACAAGCTTTATTTTGTACTTCTGGTGTTGTAAGTTCCATACCTGTGCCCTTAGCTGGAAGAGCACTTTGTCAAAATCAGGTTTCCTCTGATGTTTATAGAGCAAAAACATGGGCTGCTTCAAACTCTGATGACAATATGAAAGCGTACAAAGACTCTACTCGTCCATTTTGTACAACTAGGAGGAGAGAGGAGGAAATTGCTTCTTTCAGAAATATATATGTAACTTCAGACTCCAGTCAAAGTACTGAAGAAAGTCCATCATTCTTACATAACCAAAATGATACCAAACAAGTAAATGACAGATCTGGAATGAATAATAACTTAGAATTAACAAGTGGGTCAAAAAGCATCAGTAGTTTCTCTGGAACAATGGTAGATATGATTGTAAATGAAGCCTATGAAGCCATAACTTCATCCAGGGTCACAAAAGCAGTGGAAGAATATAAAGGTTTTTTAACAAGAAAAATAGTAGAGAAAAAGCCTTATTTGCAATGCATTGGTGAAGATTTTCCCAAGAACATGTTTGCAGACCACTTAGCCAAATATATTGTAAAACAGTCCGTGGATGAAAGTAGCAGCGTGGTACCCAACGCCTCTGATTATTTAGTATATAATATGAGCTCACAGACACATGCAGATAACAGTAGAAAAGAACAAAGTAGTGTGGTAATGAAGCAGGAGGCTGAGAAGCAAAACAACATTCCTATAATTGTTGGGCAGCAACAGATGCCTCTGAGTAATCCATCTAAATCTCTTCTTATTCCAGCTCATTCTGTTCAGTGTTCCTCAGAATCTAAAGACAGTTGGCAGGAGCAAAAAGGGCGGAGGTTTCTTTCAAGTTCGCCACCACGTTGTTCCACTGTGACTTTTTCTAAGCATGTTCTAGAAGACTTCACTGACACAGGAAGCTGCTCAGTAAAATACTTAAATAAGCCCTCAAAAAGGCATGACACTGAAACATCATCAGGATCTGCGACTTGCAGGCAGGATGATTGTTGTCTCCATGCCAGCAGCTTTCCAGTTATGTTTGGTACTGAAGAAGCTTTGCAGATGGAAGATAAATCAGCTATGAAGGATGGAAATACCTGTGCAATGCCTGGGACACCCCCGCCAACACCCTTAGCACCATGTCAAGCTAGTTCTGAAAAGAACCTGAGGAAGTTATCCAAGAAACTCAAGGGAGAATTAGCAAAGGAATTTGCACCTGCAACACCACCTTCTACACCATACAATCCATCTGTTACTGGCTCGTCTGAAGCTGAGCATGACTCTCTGGAAAAAGAAGAATTTATGCTGAAACTCATGCGGTCGCTTTCTGAGGAAGTGGAAAGTAGCGAAGATGAAGATTATTTGGAAATGCTAGTTGAGAAAGAGGAACATTCAGCAAAAACAGTACAGTATGCAGATCACTTGGCTAGTCACATAATATCGATGGCGACTGAAATGGCTGCTTCCCAATTAGATGATAAAACAAATGAAGGTGAAGGTAGTAAACAAGGGAAGTTAAATATGCCGAACAAAAGATCTGGGTCTGCTGCATTTGTAGATATTCCAGAAGAGACCTGCAATTCTTTATGGAATTATGCAGGGGATATGGCAGGAAGAGTCATCAGTGAGGCCAAGAAAATGGTGAAATCCAGGCACTGCAAACTGCTGAGGCTGAAGCGGGTGAACTGCCAGGTGGATTGCCTTTATCTGAGAAAAGGTGATAAAGGTGACAGTTCAAAGGAACAGTGGGGACCAGGACAGGACCAGTGCTCAGGGGAGAGGGATTCTTCTGTGCTTCCTTTACCGCAAACCTTGGGCACGATGGGGTTGACTTCCAAATACCCAAGCTGTGAGAGTGTGACTGATGAGTACGCAGATCATATTATTCGAGTTTTGAAAAGAGAAGGGGGTAATACCGAGTTGTTAGTGGATCAGTATGCCAGTAGGCTTGTTTACAGGTCTATAAAATCAGGCCTGCAACAAGCTGCTAGGAAAAGTAAATGGAGGTACAGCAGAAAGACATTACCTGGGCAAAACACAGAGGTAAATGGTAAGCTGGAGCTCGTCCAAGTAATGAATAAAGATTCACTACAGCAAGCGAAAAGCAGAGTTCATCCCTGTGAAGACCAGACGTGCACGAGGAGTGGCTGTGTGCAGGGCACGGCGCGTGCGGAGCTGTTGCACTTTTCAGAATCCCTGGCGCAGAGCATAACTTGTGACGTCAGGAGGAAACTGAGCATGGCGGGAGCGTGTTTGCCAAAATCTTTAACAGATTCCTGCCTCTATAGAAAGACTGAAATGGATGAAGTCACAGGGGACCCTATTAAAACAACCCCTTCTAGGACGTTTCATCCCTTCTCCCCAGAGCATAAGCTGTATCATAGCACAGGCAGTTTAAATGAAAATGGTTACAGCGAAGGCATAATTCAAGCTATAGAACAATATGCTAGGAAAGTAGCAGATGATACTCTAGAAATGAGTTTGGAATCTGCTGTTCACCGTGCAGCTGAACACAGGAAAAATGGGGATAGGCTCTCATATACTGAGCAGCTGTCGCCCTTTTCTGGAACCGTGTGCAGATGCTGCAGTATGAAGGAACATCAGTACTGTGCAGAAAATGCGTCCCGTCTGCCTGCCCAAGAATCCTCCCTCCCAGCGAGGCATTTCCCCCCTTCTAGGGTGGGCGGGGTCTGTCAAAAATCAAAAATACTTCACCTTGATATCCCTACAATTCATATTGACGTAGAACAGAAGGCAGTGTTTTCTGACAAGGTGGTTGCCGCAGCTGTTGAGAAAGCAGAGAGAGAACTGAGTAACGCGAGTGTGACGGCTGACAGCGGCATTGGGCACGACGGAGTGAGTTTTGCCGAAAGCCTTACTACTGAAATAATGACGGCAGCTATGACTAATATTGGTCAGGCAGTTAACGTCAGGTAATGCTCACTTTTCTCACTTCTTGTGTTCTGTACCAGAAAAAGAAGGGTTATTAATCAATCACTGTGCGATCAGAAGGATTTCTTTCTTTTAGAAATACTTTATATAGAAATATAAAAATTCTATATTGAAGAAATGTTTTATATTCTGAATGGTTGCTCTTTATATTACTCTAGTGATAGTTAAATGATTTGGACCTGGGGGATGAACAGCACTTTTTTCCACCTGCGGGAGCTTAAGTTTCTATATACACCAGCATGTGTATGTGTATGTGGGTGACTAACAATTGCAATTTCAGCTTCAAGTGCCTGCTATTTTTGTCTACTGTAGAGACCTCTATACCTTAATTAAATGTTTTGTTGACTAGTGAGCCATGACAGAGTCGAGGTTTGTTCCATACAGGAATTTACATTTGTACTAGAAAAACAGTGTTTGGTACTAGAAAACGAGGCTTGCCTTTCCTTGGTAATATGAAACTTGCTGCTTGGATGGCAGAAAACAGCCAACCAACCAACCAAAACTATACCTTTCTCAACATGTTTTAGATTATAAAATATTATACTAGTGTTAAACTGGAACAGAAACTGACTCTCAGATGTATCTTCATCAATAGCTAATACATTGTTTCTTTTAATAAGCTCCTTGATAAGAAATATGTGCCGCTAACTCTGCAGAAAACAAGCTGTTTCTTCAGACAGACTGCACAGAGTTCAGAATGACTTGAAGTCTTTTCTTCAGGTCAAAGAAAAATCTTTACCTTGTTAATTTTTCTAATTTATAGTAGTTGCTTTCTGAATTGGTTTGCATGGAGATTCCTTGCATGGCAAAGGGTTTGTCTTCTGATTTCTAGATGATCATGATGATCATGAGTAAAACATATTTCTGTGCTTTTAGTGCCACATAAAGGCCACAGTGGATGTGAAGCCTTTTTTCCCTCTCCCTTGCCCTTTCTAAAAATAAGATGTGTTAAGAAAAGCATAACATCTCTTTGTAGTATTTGAGTGTGAATGGAAGTTTTTGATTTGTATATGGTGGTTATTTTTACAAAACAATTTAAAACAGTAAGTTCTACTTTAACTTTTATAGCCTTTCAATGAAAGTGTTTAACAAAAATTTCTAGCAGCATGTAAAAAGGAAGTTTTACATTACAGCTGTTTCTTCAACATGGTTGGATTCTTAATTGGAGTGTCACTTCAAAAAATCATTTTATGTCATGTGATGTTTTTCTAGTGCTCATGATATCAGAGGTAACCCTTTCTTTCTGAATCCTTACTTTTAATAAATTATATATAATTTCTGTTTAGAATATGATAGAGAATCTAAAAGGCAATATTTGAAGAGATACTGTTTATTTTTCTGTGATAAGAAGGAAATACTGAGTTTTTAACATGACATCCAATTTATATAGGTACTTTTACATTGATATCCAAAGTGTGATATAAAGTGTGTGTTTCTTGAGCTGCCTTACTCATGTGCAGTGGGAAAAAAAATACTGCTAGCACTGGTATAACTCTAAATAAAAATGGAAAAAAATGACATTTGTATTACCCAAATTAGTTGAGATTTAAGTCACATGATTACCTGCAAAAATTAATACTTCATCGAAGTATTGTCTGTGATGTGCTTGAGGTTGGCTTTTTAAACAGTGAATGAAACAATCTTGAAATGACTGTTGTCTGTGGTAGCAATAGGATAATTTTGCTTGAACATTCTAGCATTGATCTACACAACAACCATACTTCGAGCCTGAAAGTCTGTGTATATGGGTACATATTCAGATTGAAACCCTTATGAAAAAAAATTCTATTCCTTTTAAAGATAGAAAATTGGATGTCTTGATTGGCCTTCTAAAGAACATCTGTTATTGAGCATACTTGCTTGACTGATGTTCTTTTTTTTTTGAAGGGGGGGGGGAGGTGAATTCTTCCCTAGGGGACAGATTCTCTGTTCTTCCCCTCCTTGAAGCAGGAAGGGAAAATTTTATCTGCAGAAAGATGCTTTTCCAAAGTGGAAAAGTTACAGCATTTTAAAAACCAGTGTGTCTACACTAAAAACCAGCAGTTTGTCTACAATAACAAACAATTGGTAGCGAGCCGGTTGTAATGAAGGCCGATAGGAGATAGAGCCCAATTGTCCTCAGGTAAACAAGGTCAGAAATGCTGATTCTTCCTACTTGAAAACTGTGTCTTGATCAGTCTAATAAACTACCTAATGCTGAAGCTTTACTATGCTTTATACAATAAATCATCCACCCAAGAGAGCTGTTTGTACCACTCCCTGCCTCTGGTGACTGAATTTCAAATGGCAATCCCGAGTCTAAGCTGGGTAAGTGCATGTGTTACAAAATTTCTGGAATTTGAAATTCGTTAGACTATTCCATGTTCTTTCTTTGAAAGCAGAGTAAAAATTAACAGATACGTTTTTTTTTCTCTTTTTCCTGGCATTTAGTGTCTTTGGTTACTTTAGATCGGGGTGGAATAGAGCCTAAGTGATGTTTTCAATCTTAAATTTTTGTTTAGCTCTACTGGAAGAGAAGGATTTCACTCGGTTGAATCTGTTGTTAGCCAGCAGATGAGTCTGAGTATTGGTGATGATAGCACTGGCAGTTGGTCCAATCTAAGTTTTGAAGATGAACATCCTGATGAAAGCAGCAGCTTTCTTCACCTCAGTGACAGGTAACTATGAATTAGCATAGATTAACAGTTGTCTTGGTGTCTGCTGATATCAAACGGCTTTCTCTTGGGGAATGGACAGAGAACTGAGTTTTCTTTTTAGGAAGCAATTCCTAAAGCAATTCAGGAAGTGTATTTTTGTTGTTGTTGTTAAAATTAGCTGTAAAATGTGTGAATCTGTTTTCCTACAAAACATTCTTTGTTAATGAATGTTAATAGTACACACAGTATAAAATATGTAAAGTTGGCATTTTCATGGATACCACAAAATAGCAGCAAGTAACACTATGCTTATAATTTCAATACTAGCAAAAATGCAGACATTTTAAAAAGAACAGACAGTTATAAATTAGGCCTTTGAAACAGTGCATTTTAGTCTTGCTCTTGAAATATTAAAACTTGAAAAAGTATTTTGTATGGAATGTAATGAATTAAAATGAATTATTGAATGTAATGAATTAAAAGTTCATTTAGTTTGTCTCAGAGCTTAGACATACATTAGGGTTTGGGGAAGGTTGAATTTATAAGTCATTTTAACTTATGTTGGTGGAGTATTTATTTACTACAGAACTTATAGGTGTATTGGAACTTATAATCTGATCAGAATAGTAACTTTTTTTTTTTCTATAAAGCTTCTTGCTATACCCTTCCACTGGGCTGCTTGATAACCAGCAAGAATTAGAACAAGAATTAAAAAAAATCTGTAATATCTGTGTCTGTTGCCAGTTAAAATTAGAAAGAGAATTGTAAGCCTAGGTTCTGCATGCAGGAAATTGGAAGAATTAGTAGGCCTAATTTTGTGTAATTGGTGTGTCACTCTTATATAGTAAGTTCTACGTTTTTACTGTATTTTTATCGTTTTGCCTCCTGGTTGGTACTTTCAGCATCATTCAGATGTTAAAGAAAATACAGAAGTAATCTTTATGTAATGTACAAATAAGTTATTTAATTTTAAAGTGAAACAGTTCACTTTAAGTTCTGTAGTGTCTTCACATTTTGCTTAATTGAAAGCAGTTTAATCAAACCATTATTATACATTATCACGGATACAACTGAATAATTTCGCTAAGAGACTTTGTCTTCTATTTATCTAAATCAAACATCTGTTGAATGAGTGAAAACAAATCAGACTTATGCGATTAAAGACAGAGTATAAAAAAAAATCTTCGGGATTTACAAGTAGGGAATAAAATACAGGTCAGTTGGTGCTTACAAGAAATTATGTATATATATAAAAAATTGTTGTAGGGCCTGTTGTGCCAATGTTTTGTGTGCCAAAATGTGCCAAAACCCACTCTGAAACAAGGGTTATTTTGTGTGTATGTTGTGGGGGAGTGTGGAGAGAAGGGGAATCTCCCCGTCTACCCTCTTATAGTTTCTGGATTGAGAAGAGATGCGTTAATGAAGATCATTATGAAAATTGTGCTTCACGGAATCTTAGACTAACCATAACCAAGGGAGCAAGACAACTTGGAGAGAATTTTCAGTGTGTGATCACTTTACTTTCTTATGTTGAATGGAAATAGGACTGGAAGTTCATTAGTGGATTTGGTCAAGTTAATTATTCTGGGGAGTATTCACAAGTGTGATGTTTTACACATGTGATGGTAACTGCTTAATTTTAGAAATCTTAATAGTCTTAAGCTTCCTCCACAGTTACTGCATAGGTATAGGCTTCTCCAGAGGATCAGCCAAAACAGCTGGTTTGGATTAGAGTTCAGAGCAGCCAGCCCGTTCCCTTTGACTGCTTGTACCTAGGGCAAAACCTCAAAGCAGTTCATCTGAGTGCTCTTTCACATGCATATGGTACAGCACTGAGACTTGTTTGGCCTCGCTTGACAGGCTGAAAGTTCTTATTTTTGGTAATTTTCTTGCTTATTTATGTTAAAGAGCAGAATGAAGCATTATAGAGGCATTATAATGGCTGTGTCTGGTTGATGTCTGGTCTGTGGCTACAAGACTCTCAAGCGTCTTCAGTGTCTTACAGAAACAATAAGTTTAAGTCACAAAACATCCTCAAGCATTGCTATACCTTGTAATCACATGATTAAAAATGTGATTATATGAGTGAATTTGACCTTTATAAAAGTATATTAACTTTTTCTCCAGTCAGAACAGTGCTATGTGTCTATGAGGCTATTCTCTTGAATTAAACACTTTTAATCTGAGAACAAGGGCAGCTTTTACTTGCATTTATGATATGTATCAAAAATCTTCAAGCAAACTATATCTGAATGCAAATCATTGGTATTACTAGGCTGTTATTTACATGTACAGAAAATATGTAAGAATCAAATTTAATGTTAATACTTTATAGATACTGTGGTAGTCTTGTACAGTAGCTTGAGACATATTCTTACAAATAGTTCTGCTTTTTCCATGCAAACCTCACAGGTAATTAAGAAATCTTGGTAAAAGTAGCTGCCATTAGCTTTTTGTTTTTTTTTTTATTATTTTATTTTTATTTTTATTTTTTTATTTTCCATTTTAATAGTTTTGCTGCAGTTCTAGAACCAGGCTAGTTTCTTTGGATACTTCTGCTTCTTAATTTTCTTTTTTTTCTTTTTTTTTCTTTTTTTTTCCCCCACCCTCTAGTAATGACAGAACAATTTGTTCTTAGCCCATTCGGTGTAAATACCCAACAGCAACAATGTGCTGAATAAAGCATTCACAACTTTATTTTTCTTCTAGAGTATATTCACATTGCAAGTTTACTAACCTGCTGTTGTGTTGAAATTAGAATCCAGACAGGCAAACTGGAAAACAAAGGATGTTGATGCTTCTTGCTGCCTCCCAGAAATGCCGGGCTCTTGGAGTGCTCCTTTCCACTATTTGTGACTTCAAATTTTATTATTTTTGTCTTGCAATTGGAACAAGTGGAAAAGAGCTTTCACTGTGAAACGTGGCGCTTAGCTGAACAGCCATCTGAAAGCATCTCCTAGCAGTAGCTGCTTTCTGGAGCTGCTTCATACCATGCGTTCAGCCTTCTCTAAGAAGCCTGGCTGTATTCTCTTGGCATCTTGCTCTGGGAAGGTTCCCAGGCATGATCTGGTGGGGGAGGAATCAAATCAAGGAACAGGAGTTTTAATTATGTGATCAGCTGAGAATTGTACATAGGCACAGGCCCCATGTCTCTGTAAATTTTCATGTTTAGAAGGTACCAGTGTAAGGACATGGTCAAGTTTTCATTTCTTTATATTGACTTGAGCATTGCTGTGGAATCAATTCAGTATCTTTGTGAATTTTGAGTGAGTTAATATTTTTAACTTTGTTTGCACTGTTTTGTAAGAATGTTTTTTCAAAAAACTTTAAGAGTACTCAGTACTTCTTTTTTTCTGCTCCTCAAAGTATTTCCTACTCGTCAGGCTGCTGTAGATCACTGCTTGATTTTTGTAATGAGAGAGAGAAGAATTTTCCTTGTGTAGCTGTCTTCACGATATATAATTTCATGAACTCCTGGCTATTCTTTAAGCAAATACCATATTTATAATCCATATTCCTATGAGTAAACCTGTTGAAATTGTTCAGCCGGTATAAATAAGAAACCATGTGCTTAGAATTAAAGATGGAATTACTTTTAGCACTGATTTAGAAAAATTAAAGAGTACAAATTAATACTTAGAGCTGCATATAGAACTTACCAGTTTTGCATTTGTGTGCAGATTGCTGATCTGAATAGCACTGACAGTCATGTTTGGGCTCCATTCCAGCAAACCTGTTTAGGAAGTTTCAATGCTCTAGCATTAAATATCTTGACAAAACAGCACTGAGGAAAATTAAGGTTCTAGTTTGAGCTATTGTTCTTTTCTAGTTCAGCTGTGTTCTCTTCTTCTCCTGGCAGTAATGGTAACAGCAGTAGCTGGAGCAGTCTTGGTTTAGAAGGGGATATGTATGAGGAGAATTTATCCTTTCCAACATCAGACAGGTTGGTTGAGTCCAGAAATATAAACCAGATGGATTCCTCATAATTAATGCATGAAATCATTTTTTGAAGACAAGAATACAGTGCATTTTTATGCTGACACATTATTCACACTCTTCTCATTTGATCACAATATGATTTTTTTCATTAATTGATCCATCCTGATTGGATAAATTCCGCTATGCTAAGCTGACGTTCTGTGTCCTGCTTGCAAAATGAGGAGTGCCTTTCATGCATGTTCTTGCTTGTGATTTTACAAGTCTTTAGATTTGCTTCAGCAAACTAGAGCCTGCTTCCTATGGAATTTCTATTTTGTTTCTTGTTTTGTGTTTTGTTTTGTTTTCCTTTAGCTTGTGGAAACTTTCAGAATTGCTTGGCAATTGATTCTGTAGAACACTTATGACCTACGGCTTTGAATAACCTGTAGCTATTCATAATCATGACCTAAGACTGCTCAAGCTTTTAACATGTGAAGCGAAACTAAACTGTCCCCCTTAAGTAAAAACAAGGACTTTGTCTTATTTTTAAATATTGTCATATTATATCTTCTTAACACTCTTCTGTTTCTGTCCTCCCCTTTCTTCCCTGAAGAGCAAATTTTCTAAACTTAATTGACAAATCCACTTACAACATGAAATGGTGTGAAAAGCAAAGCTGCTTTTCATGGTCATTCCTTAATTCTTTTGTGATCTTCATGTTCTTTACTGATTAACCTTCCTTACAGTGTTAGGATTGATTTACACTTAATTTAGTGGATTGTATTACATTTTTTGTTTTACTTTTAAAATAGTGATGGAGCAGAAGATAAAGATGAAGACTCCAAGGATGCTGTAGAAGGTAATACTTGTTTCAACGTAGGCTGTTGTTCTTGTCTTGTACACTCTATACTAATTATTTTTCGTGATTCTTCGCCTGTAAAAGGTGACAACTATATTATACATTATAATACATGTCAATCAAGAGTCTGAAGCCATTCTCATATTAATACCCTACCAACACTTCTTAATACTCAGAAGTATACAGCCTGTGGGAATTGCTTGTCATTGTGATGATCAGCTAATTATTTTTCGTGATTCTTCGCCTAT